GATCAGTGCACATATCTCATCATCAAATTCAATTTCCACAAACGATAATTGATTTGTGATAGTATTGAAATCATTTAGGTGTTGTACAACAGACGTACCTTCCTCCATTTTCAAATTGAATAACTTATTCATCAGAAATACCTTGTTATTCGTCGATGACTTGTCATACATACCTGACAAGACTGCCATAAGATCTGCAGTCGTCCTATCATTGATGACGTTATGTGCAACGGACCTCGATAAGGTCAATCAAATAACCCCTAGAACCCGTCAATCTAACAGATTTCATTCAACTTCATCAATTCTTTTAGGTCTCTTCCCCAATAACGAAAGATGGAGTTTCTTTTCATAGAGGTAGTTCTCTATCTACATCCTCCAATAACTAAAATCTGTGTCATCAAGCTTCTTGATCCGTGAAATCTTCACTTCATCTGCAGTCATTGACTTTGATACCAGTTGTGGTATATATGAAAATTTAAAACGATCGACGACGAAGTGAAAATAGCACGAGAAAAATTCACACCAAAAGAACACAGATTTACGTAGTTCGGCAAATTGCCTACGTCCACGGAGTTGCAGAGGATTTTATTACTTGAGGAGTTTATACCACAATGTTTCAATTTACAAGAAATACTTATCTCAACTTCAAGGAATTACAAAGTCGATATATTCATTAAACTTTTTTTTTTCCTCGAGGATTACAATAAACTCTCTTTCGTCTCCTTCTCTCTCACCTCTCCTTCTCTTTACCCGAGAGAGCAACAACCAAAGGACTAGGAAGTGCTGCCTTTAATACTTCTCCTCTTGCCGCGAGCCAACGCCCAAGAAGAACACAAGGAGTAGTAACCGTGCGATGCTTTCTTCACCCATAAACCAACTTAGTAGAAAAATGGGGGAGAGCCAGAAATAAGGAAAGCCACTGTTTTTCTTTTTTCTTTTTGGAGAGTAACTGTTGCAGCATTAATTGGTTGGCGGGACCCACCAAAATAAAGAATTGCGCCTCTTCCAAGAATGGAAGGCAGGAACAGTTGTAAGAGGCTGCAAGCAATTTTTTTTTTTTTTTTTGTAAACCGAGCTCCACCTCAACAAGCATAGTTGTATCAGCATAATGCTGGCAGAAAGACCCTCAGCCTTCTGTACAACGTCAATTTTGATGTTGGTGACAAAGAAAATAAATCTCAATAAATAATCAAAATGACTTACCCAGTACTTCAATTACTTCAATAGGGTGGTCAGGCTTTTGTTTCAGTAGGTTGGCACACATTGCTGCAGTCTTTGCTCTGTCACATGAGAAAAGGCTCAAAAAAACGTCTCCAAAAGATCTTAACGCTATGAGAAGAAGGGACCCAAAATGTTTATCACAATCATCATTTTGGATGAGCCAAAAGCACTTTTGACAAAGAAACAAAAAAATTTCATCCTTTTTTTGTCAATGCATTTTCTTTTCTGAAATACAGAATTGGGTTTGCATTAACATAATACTTAAACCCGAGCTTGTGATTTTTTATGTTCTTCGAGAACAAAGGCACCTTAACTCTTTTTATCATACTTGTAAAGCATCTTATTGAGACCTCTCATCTTTAATGACTCCATACTGGCAAACTTTAGGTGTTATGAGAATATTTCAATCATGTTCAGCTTTTACTATTGGATACTTGCTCTTCCTTCGTTTTTGAATCTGTTGGAATTATTCTTACATTGATTGACGTTAATAAAATTGATTATTTTTTGTTCTTGGTTTTCTTAATATATTAACACAAACCTATAGTTTAAAACTCTTAGCTGGTTAATATCCAAGGCACATAATTCATGGAAAACATATCTTTAAGACATTTGGTTTAATTTTTTTAATGTGTTCTTCACTCATTTATGCAATCATATTTGTGTGGTTCGTTTGCTTATAATATTTTATATTATATCATTTAAAAATTCAGTTATAGGTCAATTTTAGTATTCCTCGGGGTACTTTAATATTTTAGTGCTTCATTACTTGCCTCATATTGTTTACAAAATTTGGTTGATTTGCATTATTTGCATGATGATATTGAAAATTGGATGGTAATTGTAGTTATTATAGGCCTTTTGCTATTGTGATCCTTACATTATTCTAATTTTTCATGTGTATGATTTAACTTTCTTTTATGATTTTATTATCAATTTTGTAGATTCTTTTGTCTTTTCTTCTCCTTATGAATTTGCATCCAACCTTTTACCAGATCTCTAAATACAAATTGATCCTAAAGTTGTTTTAGATAATGTGGTTCTGTTCGATATTGATCACAGATTTCGGAGATGCTTAATTTGTTACTATGATAAACTTGTTTGTGATGACTCGTAGATTGTTTTGCAATTGCAAAATATTTGATTTTTTTGTTTTTTTTTTTTATGATATCACTAGCTCAATTTATAGAAGTAAAATATGTCCAAGTCAATCAGATTGATGTAGGATGGTAGTCATTTTTTGGTAGTGTTTTACCTCCAGTCACTATAGCTACAATACATTACAGTTTGTTATCTATGCCTTCGTTTATGGCTTACATTATATATGCATTGATTCATGCTAACAATTGTTGTTACTGTTTATGATGCTTGTTATTGTTCAATTTTGAGCCTTTGAGGGCATTCTGGCTATTATTTTGAAGTTGCAAAAAGGCGTTGGCTATTACCACACTTATACCATAGATTTCAAGGAAAATTTGCGGTGGATTTGAAATTTGGATACTCCCATTTCTTGACAATTGAATTGACTTGGTTGTAATTATGTTAAGTTTGTGCCAAACCTATCAATTAAACTAGTGATGAAGGCCTATCAATAGATATTTTGGGGCATATAAATTTGGAAATTTATTTACTATTATTTATTTTTCTAGTATTCAATCTTATTCATGCAAGTTGGATGTGTGATTCCAATGATTTTAGTGCTAGAATGAAAGCCCAATTTTACACATTTTCGTCTCCTTGAACTGACTAAAGCTTGAATTTTATTAGCCAATCCTTTCCTTGTCCCTATTTCTTTTAGGTATCTTGTTATTTGCTTGCTAATGTTCTTGAGTTAATTAAAATTTTGTATATTTGAGATTCTACTTGCGGTGAATAAATTGTTATGACTCACTGAATTTGATTAGTTCAAATTTCTGGTTGATTTCTTTGAATTTATTTTATTATTTATTTATGGTTTGGTTTTTATTCTCGTGATTATTTGTTTGCTCCTAAAGAAAGCAATTGTTTGCATATTTAGTTATAGTTTTATGTGTGAATTCTAGGTTCTCTTTCGTAATTCATATCCGTTATATCATTCTACTTATATTAAGAAACCTACAAATTTATTATGAATAATAACACCTCGTTTTTGGAATAAGGAGATGATAAGGAAGATGTTTTTACGGAGTAATGGGTCAGCAATGATGTACAAAAACAAAAGGAGATGGTTGGTCTAATGGTTCATTCTTGCTATGGTGGCAATATAGATGATGTGTATTTCTGGTTTTTTTTTTTATATATTTTGGCCTCTTAGGTAGTTCTCTGTTCATGAAATCTCTTATGTACCTAGCTTAAACTAATTTAATCCACTATTTAGGTTGTTCCATAACTGTGCAACCCATAAGTCTGTTTAGCCTAAGTTAGCTAATTTCGGCTCGATTGAACAAAGTAGTCAAATTGATTTATTTGGCTTAATGTGATGGGAAAGCCTCTGTGGACAATTAATTATAGTTTCAGGCATCTTTTGTATTCTCCAGTAGGAAACACTGTTGATTTGAAATACAGAAAATGTTTACAGGAACAAACAAGTTTCTTTCTGCAAGAGATTTGTAATCCCTTAAAATTCTGAAGGGGAGTAAATTTTTTCTTTTTTTCATTGAATCCTAGAGAAGTTTTAATTCTTCAAAACCAGAGTCTATATTATTGAATAAATTTCCCATTATGTTTGAAAGTTGTTGAAATCATCGCCATGCCTTTTTAACACCGTATTAATGTTCTTATGATGAGGATAGTCTTTGGTGGGTGCACTGCTGCCATTTCATGTACTAATTTTATTTTAAAATTAAGTTATTTTCATGAATTTCTTTTACACAAATATTAGCTTTGTTGGTTTTGGAGATATCCACGTTCCTTAGGAGAAAATGCCTATTTTTGAAAATTTTGATGTGGTTTGGTAAGCCAGATTACCATCATGAAATCAACTGGTGTTTTATGAATGGCTGATAAATTGACTTTATTCGTTCTTAATAAACTTAGTTTTCTAGCATGGTTCGTTCTATGAATATCTATGGACTTAGTATTTCATCTTAGACAGATGGACTTTGTCTGGCGCGACTGGAGATATTTCTCAACAACTTACTTTTTTAGTTATTACCTTTTCTTTCAGTTTAATATCACAAGATAGTAAATATCAGTATAGCTAAACTGTTATTCACATTGAGTATGCAAGCCAAGCACTTTATCTCTTGAATGGCATATCTTTTTTGGAAGATTTACATACATACCACTCAATTCTTATGTATTCACATATTAAACACTTAAATTTCATTTTTACATATATGCCCACCTTGTATATGCATGAGAAGGTGCATTTCACTTTTTAAAGTTAAAATAGTGATACTTTTTGTGATATGAAAAATTTGGGTGGTCTGAATGTAAAAGGTAAAGTGTTAGATATGCAAATACATAGGATTTGGGCGGCATCTATGTACATTCTCCAATTCTTTTATGTAGGCTTTTCGATATATGCAGGAGTTATTTTTGAGATTTTCTTGATAAATCCTAAAACATGAACTTGCTTGCTGACACGGAGAACATTGCATTTTATCTGTTGGGGTGGAAATGAGATGATAATTTGCTTCATTTTCACTATTGATTTCTCAACAGATTATTTACACATTTACCTTTTGTTCTATTTAAAAATCTCAAGCTGTGAATATGTGTGAAATTTCATTATTACTTTTATATATCAACCACCCCAATGAAAGTCGTCTGCCAAATGCATGATCTAATTTCTATAGTTGAACCAGGGCATTGCAAGCCATCATCCATCCCTGATGCCAAACTCTAATAATAGCGCACAGTCAAGTCTCAGCAGCACAGAAAATTTCCCCGAGAGACCAGACCAACCAGAATGCCAATATTACATGAAAACTGGGAGCTGTAAATTTGGTTCAATTTGCAAATATCATCACCCAAAAGAAAGAAGCTCTATATGCACAAGCACCCTCAGTCCCCTCGGCCTTCCTCTTCGACCTGTAATAATTTTATTTTTTAACGTTGATAGCTTTCCTTACTCATTATGAATTACCTGCAGACCACCCAATTGCTATGCATTTACATATCTATCACATAAACTGAACTTTTTTGCATCTATGCCACCTAATTCTTTCATATAACACCAAAAATACCACCAGTTTAACTTTTAAAAATTGATGGATCTTTTCATGCTTACGTAAGGTGTTATCTATGTAAAACCTGAAGTTTAGGTGCGAGATATGGTAATATATAAAAATTGAGTGGTATGCATGCAAATCTTCATAAGATGCAGACGTTTTACATTCAGCTACATGCGTAAAGAATGAGTAGACAGCCATGTATTCGTGCCTACTCATTTCACTTTATTTTCTAATAATTTTCTCTTGTTTTTGACACCATTTTCCTGCTTTCGGATCCAGGGCGAGCCTGTTTGTTCTTACTACATTTTTCATGGAACCTGCCGTTATGGCCCAGTGTGCAAATTTGATCACCCTTTTGTTGGATACTATAACATGCCAGCAACATATTATACTGATTCTGTGACACATCTTCCCAACCAAAGAAATACAACTAAAACCATGAAATCTGAAATGAATAATGGAGTTCTTTCTGCAAATAGCAACAAGGAGGACAAGAACTCTTCTACACATGCTTCTTCAATGTTGCATATTTCGCCTTCTTCGGAGTCTACGCAGAATAACCTTAACTAACTTCATTTAATCGTCATCAATCAGCTCGGGATCTTTTCCAGGTTTTGGAATTTTCAGAAATGTAATTGCAGTTTTGTTCTCTGGAATCATTCTTACAGTAGCTGGGAAATGGGAGGCTGAGACGTATTTCCCGAGTATAATGGAGGTAAGAAATTATTGCGGCGCTAAGTTAATTTGTTTTGCAGATTGATGTCAATTGTTTATTCCCCCAAAAAACTTGAACCTGAAATGTTAAATTACTGTTTCTGTGCAAATAATGTTAATAATGTTAATGGAATTCTTCTTCAATTCTTCTTCTTTTTTTTTTTTCGGCCTATTGGATGGAAATAAAGCAATGAACCTTACATGTGCTTCTTGTTTGCTCTCAAGCGCAATTGAATCTTATTGTTTTTTTTTCTTGTGCATAAAGCTGAGGGTTAGTTAGTAAAGATTCTACAGTCTAAATCTTAATCTCGCAATTTTATGTATTATTCTCTTTGAAGTTTCTATTTAAATGGTGCCTACCGATGAGATGCACTGCTTCTTTGGCTTGATTTTGGGCTCAGAATATGCTTGATTTTCATGTCTTGTTTGAGCTTGGGGTTGCCCGTTAAAGATTTGCATGATTTAAATTCGTCATTGATATGGTTTGCTTTCATGATTTAGGTTGGGCTAGGTACTTGTCGCTTTGATTGACAGTCTTCGTGTTTTGTAGACTTGTAGTGTTTGCAATTTGTGTTTTTTTTTTGTGGAGCATTGATGCGTTCGTGGAAGGAATCAAATGATGTTGGTCACATTATTTGGTAGCATGGGATGCCTTTGAAGGTGTTAGTTTAGAGTTTGTCATGAAGAGATAATGTGAGTGAAAAGTGCTCGAATGTGTAGTATATTGATTGGAGACTAAGTGAAGTATCTTAAAAGTGTCGGGTTCCACTCACTAAAAGAGAGTGAAGGGGCCCTCATTCCAAGGGAAATGTGGATTCAAGTGGGACTGGTAAGCCTAATATATTACACAATCGTTTGAAGACTTTTAGAAATAAAGATGTAAAATTGAATTTCTACATTTTTTTTTTAAATTTGGGAAAATTTAAGTTAATGTCAAACGTGAGATTAGACAACTCAACGGTCTATAATTTTTTTGATAAAATTAAAATTTTAAATTTTAATAAATAACCTGAAAAAAGTTGTTATGGTAAAATTAGATGGTATTGTTTTTTTTCTTAATCGTCACTCTTTTTTTTTTTAAATTTGGGAAAATTTAAGTTAATGTAGTCTATAATTTTTTTTAACTCAACGGTTTCTATTTTTTTTGATTTTAAGAATTAAAGGACACATTTCACTTAAAAAAATAGTAATAATCATATTTTATTTACTATTAAGGATTTAAGTGTTATACATGTAAATACGTAAATACATAAGAATGGTGTGGGATATAGGTGAATGCCTAATAAAATTTCATGAATTTTGGAATTTGTGCATATCATAAAATTTGGAGTTTTGCATGAATATGAATGCTTTTGTTTGGTGTTTTTAAGTTATGGAACTTCTTATGATATATAAGGTCTCATGATGGGCTTTGTGGACCTTTGATGTGCCATGACATAAAAGATATATGTATAGGGTACTTTTTCTTAAACGGTTTAACAACCTAAGGAGAAGGCCATGTGATTTGGTTGGACCACACAAGACATTTGAGATGTTTGGGCTTTGAGATTTGTGCAGGACAAAAGGGCTATTATTTGTATTGAACTTTATTGACTTGAAAGTTAAGTTTTAGGCTGATGAGACGGTGATCTGATGATTTAACATTTCCTCCTGCATTAACGAATAATCACATGCTCGATGCTCACTGATACCAAATAAATGAATAATTATGCCCCAATAATTTAGATTTATTTATTTCATTCTTATGTGAGATTCAAAATCATCCTACCCTCCACTCATTCCTTATAAAAATGAATTGAGACAAAATGTCTCCATGATTTTAGTTTTCATCATGATCGCATGAGTAGTCCTTTTTCTATTTTACACTTTAGAATTTATCGGGAAATTTTGTATGATAGTAAAATAAGGAAGATTTACATGCATACGGCTTAATTCTGATGCACTTATATATCTATTACATAAACTTTAATTTTTGCATAAATATCACTTTATCTATGCATGAAAATATGTATTCTACTTTTAAAAGGTTAAAATAGTTGCATTTTTTATGTGATATTAAATATTTGATTGGTATAAATGTAAAATGTAGACATGTAAATATATAAAAATTGGTTGATATGTATTTAAAGATGGAAGATTCAAAAACAAGTTTTGGTAGATGCAATAAACATTCATATGAGATTATAAATTTTATTTCCCTCTTTTATTATTAATGCATACAAAAATATTTAGATTATACATTGGAAAATATATATTTATTTTACATCAAATAAGTAAGTGGTGCTAGAAATAAAAATAAAAAAGTTTAATTAAGAAATAATAAAAAAAACTTTAAAAGGGCCGTTCTTCTTTACAGCTCGATTCCTCATTATCACATTGTTTTGGAGGGAAGTCATAAAAATGTCAACTTTATTTTGTGCTTTTTTACATATATATCTATATATTTGCTTTTTTACCCTTGCATGCAAATTGTGTGATGGGATAAAGTGGCGAATAAAAGTAGCTTTCTTTGCCCCAAAGCTCCCACCGAGATCCTATTGTCATTATTATAAGGGGCATTTACATTACACCTCCCATTGTCTGCATATTTACATATATAATATTTAAATATATTTTTTTAATATTTCTAACATGGAAATCTTTCATGTCACATGAAAAAAATATCATTATTTTATTTTTTAAAAAAATAGAATAAACTTTTGATACAATACAAATAATAACTGAAATTTATGTCTTAGATATGTAAATACATAGAAAATGAATGGTATATATGTAAATCTTCCTTAAATTGATAGGAGTTGGTGATCTTTTTTTGTTTTTTTGGTTGGCCTCACTGAACTTTTAGGTTGAGTGCAAGATTAATGAAAGCTTCAATCAATTTTTAAATAAATGTAGTCTAGCAAATGAGCTAGGCATGACATGGCTTCTTTCTTGCTTTTGTATTTAGAAGGATTTCATGATGCAAAACAAACTTTTTCTAAGGTTAGTAATTCATTAAAGAAGAGAATATGAGATAGACATTTAAATTAGAACTAGGCATTGGTGGGGCAAGGCATGACAAATGTTGAGCTTATTCTGGCTTAGACTAGTAAATGTGGGTTCGGGTGGAGCTTGAGTCTGATTTTTATTTAAAATTTCAAAGTTAGATCCACCCATTAAGCAGAAATTTATGTATATTAAGTTATTGGGACGCGGATTGGGCTTATTCTGACTTTTAACCAGTCTAAGCAGGCTCGGACCAAGTTTGAGTTTGTTCTATTTAGAATTTCATAGCCAAGCCCGTCCACTCTAAGCAGGCTTATGACGAGCGCGCTAACCACCCGCCCAATGCCTAGGTCTAACTCGAATATTTCTCATAGGAATATGATATCACTATAATGTCTATTATAGATCATAAGCTTGAAAAGGCAATTTTTGATATTGTTAATTTATGCCTTATGGTCAATAGTGATAGCCTGGACATGAATCATAGAGTTAATGTTCTTAGAACTATTTCAACTATTGAAGACAGGGCGGGCGAATATCTTCAATTGAGTGAATTAATATGAAATAATGTATCTAAAATATAAACTATTTGAAAAGAGTTAATGTTCTTAGAACTATTTCAACTATTGAACAAAGGACGGGCGAAATATCTTGAATTGAGTTAATTAACATGAAATAATGTATCTAAAATATACACTTTTTGAATTATGTAATTATAACCCTAAAATTTGCAATTTTCATGTTTTTTGGATATAATATTTTGAGTTAAATTACATACCATGCCACACCCAATCATTATGTGTGTACATATCCATTACCTAAACTTTACTTTTTATAATTATACCACTCAGATCTTTCTTATCACTATATAAAGGTCTGAAATACACATTTTTAATGCATAGAAATGGCGGGTATGAATGTAAAAATTGAAGCGAAGGAGTTAGACAATGTAAATACACAGGAATTGAGTGGTATGCATGTAAATCTTCCTTGAATAATTTATAAATAAATTATGATATTATTAAATATTAGATAAATAATGAGCAGAGATGAAATAAAAGGAATAGATCAGTTATCGGGTGACAGTTGCGGAATAACAGCCTGTATATCTCCTTGGGCCCCATGTGTCCTTCGAACCACGTGTCGCGCTCTCGTCACCTCCATGTGATATTGTACGCGCCAGATGCAGCGGGTCCCGCCTCCACGAGCAACCGCAGAGTAATCTTCCAATTAATGAAAAGTCAGGGGCTTAACTGCCAAATTGACTCGGAGCAAACTTTACACCTTCCCTTGCCAATATTTTTCTAAAATACAATTTGAAAAAAATTAAAATTCATATATATTGCACAATTACCAAAATAAATTAAATTTTTTTTATATTTTGACCCTTTCAGTTCTTTTTTCAAATAAATAAATAAACGGAAAAAATTAAATAAATTTCCAAGAGCTTAAATGCAAAGTTGAATTAGGCCCAAACACTGATGTTAAATTGACATTGACACTATCCCAATATAATTTACAAATGTAAACAAACAAAGTCGACAAGGATACTTTTGCTAAAACTCTGCATCCCATGCTTCTCCCACTTATCCTTTACACAGCTTAAAAAATAAAAATAAAAATAAAAATAAAAATAAAAAATCAACATTTGCAGGAAAACCTCAGCTTCTCTATGAATTACCAATCAACACTTTTCTCCTTGAAAATAAGACAGATTTGCCCACCATTTCAACCTGCAAGTCTGAAACGAATAAATACTATAATATTCCTTAAAAAAAATTGTAATTTTCAATGGAATATTCAATTTTTATCGGCATAATCTTAAATAAAAAACAAATATTAATTTTATTAGCATCTTATTATCTCACTGTTTTATTGTACTTTTACACCAAATATTCTTCATTGTTTTTAAATTACCTTAAATATAATTAAAATGTCAATTTTCATTAGAATAAACTTAAGAGTTTGCATATTGCAATTTAAATTAATTAAATGTGGGCATTTATGTACCTAAGAACCATCAAATTAACATATCTGACACCAAAATTCTATTTTTTACATTTATACCACCCAAAACATACGTATCAAATTAAAAGCAGCATATTTTAAACATGTATAACTAAGATGGTATATAAATTCTAGAAGTTAAAACATAGATTTTGAATGTATATAAATACATAAAAAATTGTGTGATATGAATAAATAAGGCAGGATAAAAATTATCTTCACCATGTTGAACTTCTCTGTAAATTGGAAAAACAATTACTTCATTGACTTAAATTAACCAAAAAATACTCCTTTTTTATATGATGAAGATATATCGAATCTACTTCTTAAGTCAACTTGATCAATCCAATCTTTTTTGTAATTTTTTTTAGTTATTTGATATTGAAAATAATAGTTAAATTACCAGGTGGCGGGAGAGTTAGGACCGGCGGCGGCTGCAGGCCGGAAAGGGATCACTCCCGGCGGATGAAGGAGAATATATTCTTGAAGCGGCCACCGGTGATCCGATTCAGGGCCTTCCGGGCACCAGGCACATCAGCATCGGCGAGCTTCTGAAGCTGAGAACAAGCTCCGGCTTCACCCAGTCGCCGGCGGCAGCCTACACCTCCACCAGCAGCAAGTGCATGGATAACGAAGACGGGGTATTTCTTGCATACCTCTTCCCTCCCGGGGTCCAGCATCTGTACGAGCCGCATGATGCTCTTCTCATCGCGCGCGAGCTCCTTCCGATTGGATCGAACGGCGAGGAGGGAGACAAGCGCGCGGGATGCAATCTCCTGCGCGCTCTCAGGCTTCGAGGACTCCAGCATCTTAACCAGAGCAACCATGCTAGGTGACATATAACGCTTGAGCTCATCCGAGGGGGAGAGGTTTGAAAGAACGGCTGCAGCAGCAAGCTGGGTGGCGCCGCTGCTGCGTAAGATTAGATCCGTCAACTGCAAGAAAAAACCTGGAGAAGATGATAGGGTTTTAGCCACAGCAGAGGACAAAGAGAGAGCATGAATAGCGCGCAGTGTGTGCTCGGAGATATCCGGATCTGAAGACAGAGAGAAATCGCTAAGCAGTTGAAGCAGATTCCGTAAACCCCCTTCTTCGACAATGGAAACCCTGATTGCTTCCCCGCCGAAGGAGGCCAGGGACCAGAGACACAGAGCTGCGTTCTTCGATGCCGAAGGTGAGCCAGATGAAAGGAGGTCGATGAGAACAGGGACGGCGCCTTCCTCAGCTATGGAGTCTCTGAGGCCATCAATGGAAGAAATGTAGTTCAACGAAGAAGCCGCGAGAGATTGAATGGAGGGGGATCCGCTGCCAGGACGGCAGGCGTTGATGAGGATCGAAACGCCGCCGTAGGCGGGGGCAGCCCCGGCATTTGGGGAGGATGGAACCGCCGCCGTAGGCGGCGACAGCCCAGGCATTGGTGGTATCTGCAGTGATGACTTCGACGGCGGCCGCGGCCTTTTCCTTAACGGCTAAGGAACCGGTTTCCAACACGCGAAGAAGCGGCCCTAGTGCTCCCTCATCAAAGAGAATGTGGCGAGAGGTGGCGGATGCGGTTGCGAGAAGAGATACAGCGGTGGCGGCGGAGTCGCGAATGAGTGAGTGGGACGACGGGTCCAGAAGACGGATAAGAGAAGAAAGATCGCCTTCTTGAGCCACAACGGGAGCGAGCTTGGGGGGATCGGACTCGAGAAACTGTAGCAGCGAGTCGAGGGCTTTGATCTTGAGATCTATAGCGCCGATCTGGAGGCGGGCAAAGAGGTCACGAACGAAGAGGGAGAGATCGGCACGGGAAGCGGAGGAAGATGGAAGAGAGAGAACGATCGCAGTGGAATGAGGGTTGGGTTGGTTAAGAAGACCCGATCGGAGTAGGAGCTCGAGGTCGTGGATGTGGAGGGAGAGGGAAGCAGTGGCAATATCGAGGTCGCTCTGGAGATGGAGCTTTCCACTAGGGAGAGTTGGATCGAGACAGCGCGAGGAGAGGGATTCGAGAGATCGGAGCGTGGTGAGGAGATTAGGGAGAAGATCAGTGAAAAGAGGGTTTGCTGAAGAGTAAGGAGCGCTTGAAGCCGAAGCTGCGGCGGAGAGAGAGGAAAGGAGTACCGATAACTTGGAGTGGAGAAGGCGCCACCGGCCGACGAGAGACCTTGCAGAGAGGGCGGTGACGAGAAGCGTGGGAAGTAGGCGGTTGAGGATGAGGTCGAGTGTGTCGCCGGAGAATGTTGGCGGCGGCGTGGAGAGCGGCGGAGAAGCGGGAGACATCTGCGGCGGAGGAGATTAGGGTGGGGATGGTGATAAGAGGGAGGCGATAAGAGGGAGGTTTTGTTGAGATGGATTCCAAGATGGACGGTTAGGATTGATTGGGAGTGGAGTGACGCCTCACTCCTCCCGTGCTCGCCGCGTTTGCCACTACAAGAATAAAATAATTAAGAGTTTCGTTTCTTTCAAGCATAGTAATAATAATATTGATAATAAATAAATAGGTTCCATTAAAATTTAGTTATTGACTTATGATTTGAGTGAGTATTATAATTGGACATATATGTTTCAAAAAAAAATAATAATAAAGATTTATATATCTTGATATACAACCAACAACAAAGTTCAATATCAACCATGAATCTCAAGACAGGATAATTTTTTAGATTATTTTTTTCAATAATAAATATTCAAATTTTGATAAGATTTCATCCACAGTCTTGTTTCGACAAAACTTATAGTCAATCTGACTGGCTCGATGAGAGAAATCCAAAAATACCAAAATTAGACTAGTCTTATTTAAATCAAGTTCAGGGTAATCCATTAAACTACATTTGGAAGCTTTTTAATAATATTTAAAAGGTCAAACCAACGTTGAATATGGCGAACTTACAGTCGAATCGAGCGTCTCTAGATGACGAATCTACTGAGACCAATATCGCTCTATTCTGACATCATTAAGACACTCAAATGTCCATCAAATTACATATGATCTTGGGAATATCTCGGAGCTCGTGATTTTTACCTTTATGGGTTTTCCATGTAAAAACTTTTGGCTTCATTATTAGTTTTCTTCTTTTTTTCTGAGTGTGTGGTTAATCTTTGTACAATAACAAAAGTTCTTACACCTCAGCTGAAGAGTTCCACCATAAAAAAATAACTATTGTTGCAGCCACTCGTCCCATAGACGGGAATGAGTTATTAGGTTTCATAATTTATAACGGCAACGTGTTGATGAATTTGTTGCTATGAATGAACGATTATCGATAGCAATAAGTAGTGTCTGATCAGTGGTGATTGACGGCGGTTAGCGGTGATTGAAGACAGTCGACGGTGGTTGATAAAGATTGGTGATGATCGACGACTGTTGTCGAAGTCAGTAGGAGTCGACGACGGTTAGCAAAATTTGACAACAATCAACGGTGGTTGATGGTGTTCGACAGGGGTCAACGGAAGTCAGCGGTAGTCGATGACGGTTTATAACATTTACTAAATTAATATGATAATCTGAAATAAATTATAATTTCATTCAAATTATGATTAAATCAAAATTTCATCAAAATCCTAAGAATTTGATCATTAAAATTTAAACAACAAACGAATACAAATTAGATTTGACGTGCTGTATAACAATAAACTCTCTTATTATTGAGGTGCATGTGATCCATTCGTACTGCCTTGAGGGCATTTACATGAAGACCAATAAATTTGTATATATTTATATATCTAACACAAACAATTTAATTTTTACATTTATAACTACCAAAAAATGTAATATCTGTTGAACCCAGACTTATTTTTTAATCACACCTAAAGAATAGAGCATAATAAGAAGAGAAAATAAGAAGGGACACGAGAATAATATTGGTAATCCTTTCATGTTTTTCTGTAAAAGTTTGACTTACATGTTACATTTTTTCATATTTATAATAAATAGAAGTTACATTATGAAATATTGAAAATATCCTTGAGACTCTTTGTTGTTCGTCTGCCACCATGAACAAATCTTTTCTCGTCGAATTGTCGCTTTGCTTGCTACTTGTGTGACGAGTCTTCACCAAACTATTCTTCGGTCGACCTTCTCGACATGGTAGGCTGAATAATTATACATGCATCCCATCCAAGGCAGGGCAGTCATATGTGGTTTAACGTATCTTGATTATACAATTTCACATTAAAAATACTTATTATGACTAGCCATAAGTGAAATTTGAGTGGTATAAATGTAAAAAAGTAAAGTTTAGATACTAGATATGTAAATATTTAAGAATTGGATGATGTATATGTAAATGCCTATAAGTGTAAAAATTAAAGTTTAAATGTTAGATATATATAAATACAAAAAAAAAAATCCTTTTTGGAGCCATTCTCTTGAGAAATTATTGTATACGGACATCGCATGCATCTCTGTATGCGGTGTCCAACCCTGACCCGGTCAGGATATATTTCGGTTTTTTTTTATTTAAGAATGTTAGATATATATAAATACAAAAAAAAAATCCTTTTTGGAGCCATTCTCTTGAGAAATTATTGTATACAGACATCGCATACATCTCTGCATGTGGTGTCCAATCCTGACCCGGTCAGGATATATTTCAGTTATTTTTATATTTTTTAAAAAAATTTTAAGTGGAACCCACAGAAATACATCCTGACTGTAGATAAGACACCGCATGCAGATGACGAAGCACAAAGTTCTGTTTTTTTTTTCTGTAATTATAAGAAAATTTTGTGCTGTTTTTTTTTTCTGTAATTATAAGAAAATTTTGTGCTGTTTTTTTTTTCTGTAATTATAAGAAAATGCGTGTATATAAACATAGAAAGTTTAGAAACTGACATTCGACTAAACAATATTAAATTCATAATTAATTTGCATCAAAATATCGCGAGATATTGTAAAATGTGTAGAACATGTACTCTTAATTATCAAAATAATAGATGCAAATGTTCCACATATATTTACATTTTATAAAACAATTTATTTTAACATTTAATATCTTGTGAAATTTCAATATTATTACCCATTTTTATTTTGTTATGAGGCTCTACTTTTTACATTTTTAATAATCGTAATTTTGTTTTTAGAGTTTATTGTTTTTAATTAGAATGCGAAATAAGTTACAACGGCGTCTAATCTAATCAATACTAAGAAGGGAAATTTATGTACATACCACGCAATTCTGCATATTTACATATTTATGTGAATTTACGTATCAAGTTCCTAAACCCATGCACAAAAATAGTATATTTCATTTAAAAAAAAATTATTGGTAGTGATATTTTTGATGTAATTTGAAAGATTTTGAATATTTTGCCTGCAAATTTAGATTTTTAGGTGGTGGAAATGCAAATACAGAAGAATTGTGTTGTGTACATGTAAATGCCTCTAATAAAAAACTGGAGGAGCGATAATCAATCATAACTATTGTTCAATCATGACCCATAGCATTCATTTGATACCCAACTTGATATTTAAAAGCATACATTGCAATTTTTTGGCCTCGTTTGTTTAGCGAGCTGAACACGAGTCGTTCACGAACAAAGAGTCGTTTTGACACCCCTAATCACGTAGCCATAAGATGTTAAGGATTGAGGCAGGATTTAAAACATCATTTGAATCTGATTTAATAATTTTTATTCTATTTTCTTCATTAATACTTTTAATTGATTATAAATCTTTGTAGCTTTGTAGTCAATTAATTTTTTTAAAAAATAATACTCATCAAAGAAATATATACAATTGATTAGTAATATTTTGAGCCAAAACGAGCCGAACACAAACGAACAAATATTTGTTCGTGTTGTTAGTGTTTGACTATCTGATGATCCGATTAGGAGAGCATATGTTTTGGATTCGACTTGTGTTAAGAAAGGCAGGTAGACCTAGGAAGACTTGGGCTTATTGTATTAAAAATGCTCTTAATTTACTAGAACTAAATGAAAATATGACTCTAAATAGGACGCAATGGAGAAAAAGGATTCATGTAACCAACCTCACGTAGTGGGATTAAAGCTTTGTTGTTGTTGTTATTATTGTTGTTAGTGTTCGGCTAGTTAACTTAGCGAACAAGTTGAGCACGAGCTTCTTAACGAGCCGAACAAGAGCTGTTCGCGAACAAAGAGCAGTTTTGATAGCCCTAATTGACACCTCTATATATATATATATATATATATATAACCTGAAATAAAGAAAAAAGATTATTTGAAGGCTATTTATTTGACGAATATTAGTAATGTGTATGGAAGAAGATGAGAAGTGTTGATTGTGTGGGGGAGAGGGGTCTAAGAAAATGTTGAGCATGAGAAAGACATTGGGAGATGTTTCAAGCCGGAGATATCAAAAAGCTCCATAAATCTTTGATCAGAAACCCTTGTTTTAGCCGCAGCAAAACGTTGATACTCGTCAAAGACTGATGTAAGGCACCATCTCTGCAGCTTTCTTAGACATCCCACCAAGCGCCCTGTGCGGTGCTGAAATAAATAAAAAAAAAAAAATTAATAAATAATATATATGTGCATTTGCATATATACCACCCAATTCCGACGTACTTGCATATCTAACACCTAAACTTTGCTTTTTATATTCATACCACCCAAATCTTTTATATCACACAAAAAAATATCACTATTTTCATTTCTAAAAAGTGAAATACACTTTTTTGATGCATTAGTAAAGTGGCATATATGTAAAAATTGAAGCATTGGTGTTAGATATATAAATAGATAGAAATTGAGTGGCCTGTAGTTAGATATATAAATAGATAGAAATTGAGTGGCCTGCATGCGTGCGTGCGTGCGTGTGTACACTGCGTGTGTGCGTGTGTGCGTGTGTGCGTGTGTGCGGTGTGCGTGTCGTGTGTACACACATATATATAGCTTCAGGCTTTCAGCTTTAATGAACATAAAATTAAAAAAAATAAATAAATACCTTCCCTCTTTTGCAATGAATCAGCAATGGGAGATTGCGCGCATCTACAGGCAAAGCAAAATGAGCAACCATTCAGCATGATTCAGGCAAAATACAAGCAATAAAGATTAGATGAGAATAAATCTTAAAAATAGTTGAATTTGTTTTCATCAAAATGACTAATTGATCAATTTTTATACTGACAAATCTCAAAGCAAATCCAACAATTTTACATCTATGTTAAGTTTTGGTCAAAATGAATATCTACAAAAAAAAAAAAAAAAAAAAAAAAAAAAAAAATTAAGCTTAATTCGTACCGAGAACAACTTTGAGAGCTTCGCGAATTGTGTCATCAGGAATGTTAACAAAAGGTTCCTACAAGGATGTATGCATTCTTTTAGCTTGTTATCAGATCAAAGACTAAAAAAGATACAAGCCATGAGCAGGATCAGAATTGCTGGATAAATAGTTTGTGATTAAATACAATCAAATAGCATGAAAACTCTGTGTATATAAACATAAAACTCTGAAACTTTTTACATACATAGCACACAATTCTCATGTATTACATATCTCATGCCTAAACTTTCAAATTTACACACATATCACTCCAACCTTTAATATCACAAAAGAAAACAGTACTATTATCACTTTCTAAAAGACAGATGCACATTTTCATGCTTAAAACACAACAGTGCTATGCATGTCAATATGTCTTACATATGTTAATTTCTCTTATTACAACTTCAACATACAAGCAATGTAGTTGGGATTGTGATTATCTTTTCTTTTATGGAAGTTTCACCATCCATAAATTTTACCAGAAATAAAACATGGGGCATTTACATGCATACCCCAAACGTAACACCTAAACATTCATATTTACATGCACTTCAATCATATCTTTAACATCTCATCAAAAATATCACTATCACTATCTTTTTAAAAGTGAAATACACACTTTCCTGCATAGGTTTATGACACAAAGATGTTTTAAGTATAAATATAAAACTTTGGGTGTTAGATATGTAATTACATAAGAATTGTTCGTTATGTACATAAATTTACCTAAAAATATTCACATAACTACAACTTTCAAAAACCAGTAGGCTGATATGTCAGGTTAATGAAGTTGTTCCCTGCAATTCCGAAAGCTTGAAAACCATTCTTTTTGAAAGGAACAAAATGAGTCAGGATACGCTTGACCAAGTTATAGTCAGGAGGGATCTTAAGATCATTATATTTGTTTTGAAATAGATGTAAAAATTCAAATAAAAATTTGTAATGTACTCATTTTAAAATTGGATGGTTTACAAATATAGCACTTAATTCCTATGAATTGATATATCTAACACGCAAATTTCAATTTTTACATATATATGTAACCTTACCTATCCATGAAAAAGTGTATTTAACTATTAAAACGTTAAAATAATGAAATTTTTGATGTGATATGAAAGATTTAGGTGGTATAAATATAAATAAGAAAATTTTAGGAGTTAGATATATAAACGCCCCTAAAAAATGATCCATTGCTGAGATGGGATAAGCCAGACTAGGTTGAACCAGGTCAGCAAGTTCGGGCAATCCAAGGAGTTCTCCGACACTACGCCAAGAAAGAACCATGGAGGCGATGAATGTGGTAGTGGTGATGGTTTGGAGAATCCTCCATTACAAAGGTAGAAGCATGTTATCATAACAAGTAGTCTAGGTAAATTTAATGTTGCATAAATTACTATGTTTGGTAGTAACACGTCATAAAAAATACATACAGTCCATAAAGGAAAATACAAAATCGGCAAATTTAAAGCATTTAGTAGTAATGAGACTCCAAATAAGTATTATTGATGCATATTCATATCATTCATCCACTGCATTGATGAGAACTTTTAAAAATTTCTATTTGATTAAGAGCAAATTTTGACATGGAGAGTCTGGAAGAGTTGTAAAACCAAATTAGAGTTAGAATTGGGCTGTTTCAGTTAAGTTGGTACAATGGTACCCAAATGAGTTTGAATGGTGTGAACAATCCCAGACAAACTCTAGAACATGTTACTAAATGCATGGATGCTCAAACCAGTGGAGTTGGAGCCTAGATGGACACAATCCAACATAACCAATCCAATGTAACCCTGCTTTGAGTTAACCTGGCAAACATCTTCCTCATGTATGATCGAAACTGCATCTAGGGACGTAATTATTAGCCAGCTCACACTCGACATGTTATTAGGCTCACAACCTAGCTTACCGAGTCACAAGTTTGAGTTCGAGCTCAAGTATGGGCTGAATCGGCTTGAGAGTGCTGTGGTATGTTTAAATAGAACGACCGATGACGAAGTAAAAAATAGAACAAGAAGAATTCACACCAAAAGAACACACAAATTTACGTGGTTCGGCAAATTGCCTACATCCACGAAGTTGCAGAGGATTTTATTAATTGAGGAAATTAAGCCAGTCAATCTCTTCGACAATTACAAGAAAGAAATTTCTTGCTTCCTCTCTCTCTATATCGCTTAGCCACAACAGAAGACAAGTTCAAAGAAAGGAAACACCGCAAACAACAATTCCTTCTTCTTGTCTTCACCTCAAGCAAGAACTCCTTCCTGCCTTCACCGCAAGAAAGAACTCCTTCTTGCAAGCAAGAAATCCTTCTTCCTGTCTTCAATGCAAGCCATAAGCAAGAACTCCTTCCCAAAGAAAAAATCCAAATCTGCGATTCCTTTCTCTGTTTTCACCGCTCCGAAGGAGGAGTTGCGATATCTTCTTTTTACCGACTGGAGAGATCGCTCCTCTTTCTGCTTCCGCGTTTCAAGAAAACAGGAGAATCTTTTTCGCGAACGAGGGAGGAGCAGGAGGTTTCACGCTAACAAACAGAACGGAACGGGAGGTAATCGCGAACTGAAAAAGCGTAGGAGAAAAATAGGGGGGGCAGTTACGGTAAGGTTTTTTTTCTTTTTTTTTTATTTTCAACAAATCTCCCACTTGGAGACCTGTACACAGACTACAACGTCTCATTCCTCAAACTGAACTCCTCTGAAATAGTGAAATTCACCGCTCTGCTCCCGAGGACCTAGACATCTTTACTGAACCTCGTTAAATCTCTGTGTATTATTCTGGATTTGTGTCGATTTCTGTTTTTCCTCGCCCTAAATTTCTCAGCAGAGAGCTCAAGTTAGTTTAATTAACATTAATTAAGATCTATAATTAATCATTAATTAATTTTATTTATGTCAACGATGAAACTTTTTCAAAAAATTAATATTTATAGATGAAATTGAGCCCAACAATTGAGTCAAGTTCAGGCTTGACTTCTTTTACTCGAGTCCAGTTATTGAGCTCAAGCTCTAGTTTGAGCTAATCAATAATTAAACAAGCTCGACTCGATTGAGCCAAAACTCCTCTTGACTTGTTTGTACCCCTAGCCTTATGTTAACAAAGCCTTCAATAAGCATTTGTTAATTAAGATTATTCATCAACACGTTAATCATAACCACAAAGTATAATTAATGCAAGTCTTTAATAGCACATATCATACATCAATGGATTAATACTTGTTAGAACCGTAACAAACCCTAGTTGATTAAACATGATTTTCAAAAGTAATATGGCTTTTGAGATGCTGCAGATGGGTAGAGTTAGAGTTTAGTTTGACTTGGTTTAATTGAGATGTCCCCTAATTGAACTGTAAACAAGATGTTGAATATGTTAAGCCTTAAGATGATTAGACTGGGGACTAAATGTGCATAAACTAGCATGACTAGTTGAAGCTAGCTTGGCCTAACCAGATAAATCCTTGCAGAAGGCAGAAAATCCATGCTAGAAAGGTCTCAAGTACGTAGCCATCCCCCCAACCCAACCACAAGATTGCCAATTGCCAAAGAGCACGCCTGCAATAACCATTATAATTGGCACACCCACATTTATTCACAATCGATTTCAGAAGTTCGGATTTTCAAACATCTTCACCTCTTCACAAAACATTTGTCATTAAACAATGCAATGAGGGAAAAAAATAGTTCCAAAATAAATCCCACTGACATTGATGCTCATTTTCACAAAAGTTGAATGAAGAAATAATGAACCAGCTTTAATCCATTTTTGTTAAATATATGAAGCTATAATTTGTCTCCAACATTGCGGTCATGATATCATCGCCAACAATATTACATTTTCGATTCATGCACTGGAGGAAATGCTAAAGACGAATTCCATTAGCAACCCAGGCAGCCCAAGTTAGGGAAAGTTAGCCTTAAGGTAATATCCATTCAATCAAATTTGCATAGTTTTTATGATGGAATGAGAACAATCTCCTTCATTCATTCAAAATAGGCATGAAATTTTGATTGGATTGGATTAAATTAACATCAATTCTATAGATAAACCTCAATTTTAATTCACAAGAATAATTCTTTACAGTTCTTAGAGTTAAGAAAAAATTTTTGACATTAATTTGCTAATGACATGCCACTTATTGACAGTGTGTTGTTGCTTGTTCATAATGTGCTCTCTCGCTCATAGCTCATAATTCATAACCAATATTGTTGGCTTATATTGTGAGACCACTCATTAATGGCATGCTATCATGAAATCAAGAATATTTTTAGTAAATACTAAATATTAGAAAATAGACTTCAGCTGTTATGAAATCAATTTAAAAATCTTCTTATGAAATCAAGCCTTTCTTCTTAATCCATTAATACTAATTATATCTGCCTATAATAAAAGTGCATTTTCTATCTTTTAATATATATATATATATATATATATATATATATATATGTCCAAACAGCTGAAGTCTATTTTCAACCGTCTAATCTTCAACAGATGCAACTCCAATCGTTCTTTTAGCATAGTTATTCATTATTTCATCATTCTTAGTTTTGGTAAAATATCCATTTTAACTTTCTAAAAACATCCCCTCAAGCTAGCTTGATAAAGAACTCAATAGATGTCACATCAACAATATTTTTTTTTACACCAAGGTTTATTTAGATCTAGAGTTTGAGAGTTTCGATAGAAAACCACTATGTTTAATTACCATCTTCAATCACAGACCGCAATTTGTGATTAAGAAAATTTGTCAGGTTCAAATTTAGGTGCAAATTTTGTTAGGTGAGGAAAGATTGGGTAGATGGAAGTCAACTAAGTCAAAATCCCATTCGTCCATTGTCACATGTCTACTGACGGACTTAGCCTCTCAATGTTGGAAAGCTATCAGTCCAGAGAGGGAGACTAAAAATCACGAGTTACCACATCTCAATTATCTCGGGCAAAAAATAGTGAATCTTTGTTAAAAGCATGCTTTCAAGATTAATTTAAAATTGTTCACTGCAAAAAACTTGTCATGCCATCTTGACCAAATGATTGAAGGCACAGAATGTGTTCACTAAGTGTTTCAAATTGTTAAAGAAGACCAACAAAAGTTCAAAGGCATGGCATGATCATTCCTTGTCTACGAGTTATAATTTTGGTGTTTCAAGGTGTTAAACAAGATAAACTATAGTTCAGTGGCATGAAATGATAATTACTTGTTTACGAGTTTTAGTTTGACTTGAAGAAACATGTCTAAGACACATAAGTGTTTAATAGGTCTAGTAAGCAAGCTTGAATTAGCTCGGAGAATTGATAATATGGAGACCTAAATCAAGATGTTGAGCAATAAGAAATCTAACACATCACTCTAGTTAGAACCTAATTTTGATTTACTAGCAAAGAGATTACAATATCATATTGGTTTAACAGTTCAGAGGCACAAAACCAAACATGGTCCAAAAGTACTTGATATAACAAAGTCATGGCATAATAAATTCAATCTTATGAGAGCAAACCTTGTTGGCATGATGCCTTAAGATATTAGTTTTGGATTTATGTTTGAGTTTTAATAGTAGCACAGTCGTTGTGAAGGTATAATCCATATCAAATAATATAAAATACAATAGTTGAGGTCTATTTATCTATAACCAATGAAGCTCTACCCTATTTATAATATTTGATTCAATATATAATCATCTTTGAAAATAAAATATATGCAAAATTATGATAACTATACAAAAATCTAACCTATGATCATACAGTGTTGTTATGGGAGAAGCAAATATGATATAAACTAGAAGAACTGTAGGTTTTAGATAGCCATTTGGATTTCATACCAATAAGATCCTCTATGGATGCAAGTCTTGTACTAAAGAAATTTAATAAAAATGCATAAAAAGCAAAGAAAATACCTTAGTACAAAGTTTATTATCTATAGAAAGCAAGATGACATAGCTAATAAAAAAGGATTCACGATTATACAACTTTATATGTAGTTTTACACATGACATAGCTAATAAAGCTTCCCCAAATAAAAGGGTTATAGCTAAGAATAATGAGGATTTAAGTATTTTTAATTTATCTTTCAGATAGATTTCTTGCAGCATAGAATATCACATGAAATTTCTATAAGCTTATCATATAAAAAAACGAATAAAATTAGAACTAAAACTACCATTTCAGCTAATTTCCAAGTATGCCCAGCCTACCTTAAAATTAATTAACGCAATTCTCTAAGATCATTTCCTAACAAAAACAAATCAAAAATAGAAATCAAAAGAGATTAATTGATAAGGATAAGTATTATTATTATTATTATTTTTTTTTTTTTCATTTTTCTATCCTGTGTTTTGGGTTGGTTATGGCAGCACCAAAATAAAATCTCATGTTCCATGAAAAACAATAATAAAATCAAATCCTCTATGCTTACAGCTAAAGTTAGAAGAATAATAATTTAATAGAAATAAAAAATGTATAATCTATTTTTCTATATTAGTTTAAATTGCGTGGACCTGAGCCCATTAAAAGTTGGAATGAACTCTGCCCTCAATAATTTAAGTTGACATGAGGTCCAAAATTATTGATATGTTATACGTGTGGCTGGTATTTAATCTCCTCGTGTTATTTCTCTATAGCAAGCATTTACTTTAATATAGTGGGCATAAAGCAAATAACATAGCAGTTGATAACCAATATTTTACCATCTCATTATGATAGATAATGATAATCATAAATGCATGCAATTGTCTTAGTTATTTTGAAATGATGCATAACACTTGTAGAATTTACTAAATACATCTTAAAGAGATTTAATCCCAAAATATTCTTTTGACAACGAGTTGGTAGCCAATTTAGTCCTAGAGTATTGCATTTCTCTAATTTAGTTTTTCCATTAAATAAAATTAATTTGAAATAATCCGACATGTAAAAAGTGTAATACAAAATTGATCTCAATTTAGTCCCCCAACTATACAAAAATGATCTCAGTTTAACCCTCAAGGAACCATTTGCATTAATTTTATATAGTTGATTAAATAAGTTAGGAAAAAATATTATATTAAGTCTCGTTTGGCCAAAAATATAAGGTCGGGAAAGTATTTTTGGAGTTTAACCCATCTAGGAGTTGACTTTCAAGTTAAACCATTCTTTAAAAATTTAAGCTCAACATGCGATATTAAAAGAAAATTTCAAACAATTCTCACTCGTCCTTAACAATTTTTCTAAGATTTATTGACGTGTTTGTTTTCTTATTAGATTTATGATAAAATTGGTTGAAATGAAAGAAATTTTAAGTAGCGGAACATACTTTTAGTATGTGCTAGTAATCTTATTTGATATTAAAATAATAATAATGAATAAATAAGATTGGAAAGTTTTGTGACAACTACATAAAATAGATTAATTAGTTTTGATTCCAAATATAAAAAAAAATGTGATAAAGGAGCATAAATCTGAGTTCTTAAATTAAAGAAGGGCTCCCAAATTTTATATCATGAGACAGTACCTATAGGACCAATGTGAAAATTTTATAAAGTTGAGCTAAAACCAACTATTTTATGTGAATTCAAGCATTTGGCAACAAAAAAGTAATAATGGAGTTAAGTGTGGCAGCATTGAGAAGTTAAAATGGATAAGAAAAAAAATGAAGGATAGAATTTCAATGCTTAATATTGGAGAGTGTATGGGAATAAAAAACTCTTAGAGTTGAAAGTAGAGTAATAAAATTGAGTTTGTCGATGTACGATGAAGATTAAAAGTTGTAACAATAAGGAAATAGATAAAATCAATTGAGTATTTGTGAATGAAAAAGGACAAGGTAAAAACAACAACCAAACATTGAGCAAAAGCTCTTCATGAATTACAACAAAAATTATGTTCAACTGTTAAAAGAGAAGAAAGGAAAAGAATAACTCACAAAACCATGACATGAAACAATTCGAAAATGCCAAATTCTTATGAAGATGATGATGATAATAAGATTAACCATAAAAAATATACAACCATATTAAGAGAATCACAAATTAGACCTGTGATTACAAGGCCATTCTTTGAATGGAAAGTAAAACAGATAATGAACTTCAACTCTGAATAATTTATAAGTACAAGAAGATTAAATTATAAAGGACGTGATGGTTATGAGTCACAAAGTAAAATCATCAATCCACATTATATGGTATAACCTGAATTTTAGGGCTATTTATATCATGTTTTAACTCGCCAACAACCAAGAATAACAAAGTTAATTTTGCCTTCGTAAAATAAAATTCTATCAGGAACGGAAGTACACATGGAGATGATTGTTGATCTCTAAAACATTAACATAATTGATTATGCAAATTAAAATAAGATAGAAATCCAAGTAACCATTTAATTATGTATAACAAGGCATTTTAAGTTCAGCCCATTGGCAAAGACTGTGCCAAACCCTATGAACAAGTGAATGGCATTTGAATAAGATGAAGAGTAATCAAAGAGTTTCCAAATATTATATAAAAAAAAAGTCTTAAGTTTGTATAATATTTGATTGATTATGGGCATGCTCATAAAAGGTATAAAAGATGAGGCAACTTGATATATGCTATTTGTTGGTGGCATGACTTATATAAGTTAAACTTACTCTAAAGTATGTGAAAAGTTAAATAAATTTGAGAAGATGTAAAGAAATACAAAGTCAATGATAAGGAGCACAAAAGCAGGGTATATGATAATTACACTCTATATGAAATTAATAGATTTATGTAGTTTAGAGCTAAAAAAATGGAGATATAAACTGATAACCACTTTGGGTGTGTTTTAGATAGGAATGCTAAAATAGATTTATGATGAAATTAATAAGTACAATGGGGTCTATTAGTGATGGCATAAGAAAATGTAAAATCTACTAAGGATAACTTGGTGAAAAGTAGAATTACATAGTTTGGGCATATACAATGGAAGATAAAAGACATGCAATATAACTAAACCAACAGGTTAAGTAGTTGTGTAAGAGGCTTTCCATAAGCTAACCTAAACAACGCATGTAGCACTCTACGCGAATGAATGGAGAAATAGGACAATAAAGCCAAACCAGAATAGTTGGGATAAGGCTGTTGATGATAATGATGATAATAATAATAATGAAGATTTATATAAATACCATTCAATTCCTATGTATTTACATATCAAGCACATAAACTTCCGTTTTTATAAATGTACCACCTTACCCATGCAAGAAAAGGTGTATTTCACTTTTAAAAATAGAAATGGTGTTATTTTTGGTGTGATAAGAAATATTTGGGTGTTATAAATGTAAAAAAGTGAATTTCAGCCGTTAGATATGTAAATACATAAGAATTAGGTGGTATTTAAATCCCCCTCATAAAAAATCAGAGCAAGAAACACGATCTGAAACCCCAACTGCCATTCACAATGATTAGTTATTGCCTTTCCTATATCAGAAATCAGAATTGATAAGTCCAAAATAATGTTTCGATGTTTGTCATCCTGCAACCTTAAAAGGTGAAACCAATTTCATCATAAAGAAGGGTTTGATTCAATATATACTGTGGAAAGAAGTACAGAAGTTTAACAATTCCTTGTGAAATTATATTGGATTAATAAATACCATATATTCATATACTAGAACGAATAGCAACATAAATATCATTATGCACTCTTCACACGAAAAGGCCAGTTCAGTATGTTAATCTCACAACCCTGCACGCAGAATCAGAAAGCGCCTTACACGAGATGATAACATTTTCAAGAACTCAATACAAGCAATTAGAAATTATATCTGAACAACGCCAACTAACTTATCAGAAGTAACACAAGGAATTCAGCATAAAGAGGTCACAATTCACCCAAATAACAACTTAACCACTGATACCTTGGCTCCTTCGATCCCAAACTGGAACAATCTGATTCCATTGGACCTCAAGAACTCCCAATTCGCCTCCGGATACGGCTCAGGACACAAGCATCTGAAGCCCCACCAGATGAACAAACAAACAAAACCCAAAACCAGATTAAAACAACAAAATCCAGTAATGCCCGCCCGATCCCGAGAGCAAACGAAGAGTCACTTACAGAACGCTGCGGAGCTTGAGCGTCTGCAGGAAGCTGAAATTGGCCACGTCCGGGAAACCCGAGCGGAAGACGCCGTTGTCAACCATGGCGAAGTTGAGCGGCGGAAGGAAGAGATCCTCGCCGCCTTCCCTCGCCGGTCCGGCGATTTCCGGAGAGGAGTAATAGGGCTTGACGATGACTTCATTGTCGTCATCCTCCTCCTCCTCCTCTATTTCCGGCGACGTCCGCTGTTTTCCGATCTCCAGCTTCATCGGAATATTCCCCGCACCTTGAAGAATCTACTAAAATCTATCGGGTATCAGCTTAAAAGGGCCCGAATCCGAACTTTGTTAGCGGCTGCGGAGCTTGACCAAAGGAATACCGAAAGGTTCAAAGAATATTCTCCCTAATATATATATTATATATATATATATATATATATACAAACAATCATAGTAATTATGAAAGGTTTTGAACTCATAACGTAATCCGTCAATAGCCCAAATTTGACCCGATTGCTCAAATTTGACCCGATTGCTTAGAAATCTAAACTTGACTTAAATTTTAAGTTGATTATAATTATCATTTGACTTAAGAAATGATTTTCATTTTATGTACTTACATGAACCTAAATATGTTAAATGAGTTATTCGAGTCAAATTTAGATTAATTGAAATGATGATGAAATTTGTTCAAGTCAAATTTTCATTCAGTTTATTCGAGCGTGTCAATTAGATTGTTGGGTTGGGTTGGGTTGGGTTGGGTTTGGATTATACATGTTCTAGTGAAGCCAAATTCAAGTAAAATAAGATCATCACCCATTGATCCATATTAACACATTTAATCACAAAAAATCACTTAACATTTTTGTACTCGATAAACAACTCCCAAACAATCTTTGAGATCATTCTCAGAACATTAATAAATAATGAGCAATGATATATGATAAGACTCCAACAAATTTTTGTCATTTGACATAAATTTTGAGGCATTACACAGATCTTGATGTGATTTTTTTAGCAAAAATATTCAAATTTTGATTAGGAGTCATCCGACGTTCTGATTTCAGTGAACTTATAGTTAAATTGACCAGCTAGACGAGACGGACCCAATGGTATACCAACATTGATCCAAGCCGAACCAAATTGAACTCTAATCAAGTCATTAAACTGCTTTTGGAAGCTTTATGGACATATTTAAAATGTCAAACAGATGTTGAATCTGGCGAGTTTATAGTCGAATTGAAAGTCTCGTTGAGTCGAATCTGACGAGCTCAACATCGCTAAAGTCTAACATCATTAAGAAACTCAAATGTCCATCAAATATCATATGATTAAAGAAAGCTCAACGGGCCATTTGATTAAAGTGGTTCACATTTCTGCATTAATTACACCCGGAACTCTATAAATAAAACCGCACCCCTCTCATAAGAGGGGAGAGTCTGAGGCTTCAGGAAGAGAGCTTGAAGCTTTTAAAAGGAGCTGCAGTCAACATCGTTATTGCCACTATCAACCGCTGTCGGTTATCGTTTACCTCCACTTGTTGATCGTCATTGACCAACACCTGTCGATCGCCGTCGACCATCGCCAACGGTCGTTGACCACCACCTACTTGTCGTCATCGATCACCATCGACCATCATTCACCTCTTACAACAAGATCATCCATGAATTGATGTTGTAACTCCAAGAAGTGTTCAACCTTTTCCCGCCTGTGGGACGAGGGTATGTACTTATAATCACTAGTTATTGTGGATTTCTTCAATCGGGTCAGACCCAGTAGTTTTTTCTCTTTTTTAGGTTTTCCACGTAAAAATTTTTGGTGTCTCAATTGGTTGTTATTTTTTATTTGAGTTTGTGTTGAAATCTCGTGTAATGTTAAGACAATAATTTGTTACTCTACCACCATGAATTTTTTATCACGCACCAATATATATATATATATA